ATCACTGTGTGAGTTTTACCTAGTTGACTTTAATTGGCCTGCAAAACTTATAGGAATAAGCTACATTACTACTAATGTCCATCTTACTTGACAGAAAATGTAATTTAAAACCTTTTTACACTTGATATGTTAATTCTTTTCATTGAAAGATTTTTAATAAATTGTTCAGCAAATACATCATTTTTAAAAACACCTAAAATGATAATAATATAAATATAATAGCTTTTAAAAAATATTCACAATATTTTCAGTTGTTATTAGATAGAATGTTTTCATGTGATAATATTATTAAATCATACATGAAAAATGAAAGCCATGGGGGACTATAATATTTATTATAAATATATGTATATATCTCATATTTCTATCAGATATGTTTAGTTGGATCCAGTCCCTTAGTAAAAAATTCATGGCTAGTAATGAGCCATCTGTTACCACAGAGATAATATGTCTCTGTTTCTTCTGAGACACTAAATTAAACTGAATATCATCAATTTTATCTGAACATAGTCATCGAAACTTGAAAATAAATCTTAAGACCTAGCAGGATGACTTTACTATTAGCAAGACAGTAAAGTTTTAAAACTATCTGTGTTATAGCTTTAGTTACAGTTAACATTTTTATTTCTGTTGATAGAACTCATCCTTCAACAGGAATAAATGCTGCAGGAGAGTCAGACAAATACCACTGATGTTTGTGTTCAGGAAAGGATCAAGTTCATTAGTACTAGAGAACTAAACTAGAGAGTACATAGGAAAGTACTAGAATAGATGTACAGAAACAGTCCACAGTTGTGCCTTTTTTATATTACATAAAGCAGTATCATTTCGTAAATACAGAGCCACAGTCTAAGTAACATCCAGATATACATAAATAGTTATATGGAGGAAAATTGCCTTTATGCAGCTCAAATTTATATAGATGGAAAAAAAAGTTTGTAAGTGTTCTATTTAGTGTGGTGGAAGCAATTAATTGCAATTTGGCATCCTTACTCCTTGACTAAAATTTTCTTGAAGACTTCCCTCTCATCCTGAATAATGATAATTACATATGACCTGTAGCATGCACTTTTATTTCTGGCAGCAAATGCCTCATTTTGCAAGCTTTATATTCCATCTTGAAGTAGTTGATGTTTTTATTCTTACAAAAGTCTATCAATCCTGTTGTTAAAAGGACATATAATGCTATCGATACTAATATTCTTATTCAGTTGTGATAAGATTCATCATGAGAACTGAGAAAGAATTCCTCAAGGATTATGGAATCAATATAAATTAAAATGTCATTGTATCATCAAAATTGATTTTGATAATGACTCATCAGTGGTACATAAAATGGCTTCTTTTATGTAGGAAGACAAGGCCACTGCCTTCTTTACAACTTTAGAGATTTTATAGCACCGATTTTCTCTGAAAGCCTTACATTTACTTTTGCTTTGGGAGCTGGCTAGATAGATATGCAGTTTTTGTGACATGGACAGATATCATTTGATCATATTTTCTTAGGTAACACATGTAAAGGAGTTTTTAGTTTTTAGTTGTGTCTCAGATTTTTAGAAGTACCTTACTATTTTTTAAACTTCAGACACATTTACTCTGTTTTTATTATCTGTTCTTGCTAAATAAATTTGTGCAGGTCATAAAACATTTGTGCACTTGTTAATAGTATATAGCTTATCCTTGTTCGATCAATGTCATAATGTCTGCTCACGCTGTGAGCAAGTAAGAAAAACAGAGGGAACCTTGTTTATACTTAATTTCCCATTGGAGTCCAGAGGAAGGGAGAGAATAGACAAAATATTCATGTCTTCATTTTTTACCAGTTACTTCTCTTTTTTGTTCTTTCCCCAAATTTTGACTCATTATGCCCTAGAGATCTCAGCCTTTTTGTGCTTGGTAATGTAGTATATCACCTGTGGCTCTCTGCCTTATCTCAGGAATGCTCTGTGTTCCAAAATTATTTATTTTTCCTATCCCACCTCTGATTAAAACTCTCCATTTTAGAAAAGTAGTTTGATTAAACTTTAGCAGTTTTAGATATTACAGTGTTTCTAGAAACAGACCTTTTGATCTTGCTAGTCATTGTCTTATAAAAGGACACCTTCTGTTTTTAGCTTGTTTCTAAGCATTATAATCAAATTTCTTAAAGTAGTATCCAAAGCATTGGATTTCTGAGAGCCCCTGTCAGTTTTTTCTACTTTCCGTTTTTGGAATAGGGTTCTAGGATACAGGGCTTTAACATTTTTTTTTCCTATTCTGTAAAAAAAATCCCAGCGAACCCTAGAATGCTATTTTTGGCTGTGTAAAAATATTTTCATTTATGAGAAGGACTTGTCATTTATGCATAATGTCATATAGCATAATTGCTTGAATATTTTTATTTTGTATTAGTCATATTGGTTGCATGTTATGATTATATATTACCTTTTAATTTTTAAAAGTATAACAGTAAGCTCCCACATATCCAGAATTAAAATGGTTAAAAAATAATTTGTTGATTACTGAATAATTAATGACTCATGGTATTCCATAAGATCCAGGAGGTTTCTGGTTTATCACAGAGAGATTAAAGTATCTAGTATGATGTAAAATTTTATGAATATTAATTATATTTTTCTTTTTTTAAATTCTCAATGCAACTTTGAAGTTTTTATAGTCACATACCCCTTATGAACTGTAATGACAGTTATAGAACCCATCCTAGAAAAATGTACATACATGTATTCAGACTTATACATACAATATCAGTGGTTCATGTCTCCTACCTTTGAGCCCCAGGTTGTGAACTCATGATCTGTAGTATGTTCATATTCACTTACCTAAATATTCAGATAATATGAAAACCGTAAGAATGTCATCTTGGTTGCATTTAAGACAAAATAACAAATAGTTTTGTTTTTTGGTTCCCTTATTTGTTTATTCATTTATTCAACAAACAATGTATTGAGTACTTTCTACATGGTATTATATTAGACATGGGAAATTAAAAATCTATATACTTGTTCCTGTCCTCAAGAAATTAAATTTTGTGGGGAAGATGGATAAATTTATAATTTGTAAAAGATACCATGCTTTTTGAATGTATATATTGAAGTTGAATGATGACTTATATATTGTAATGGAGAGGGGTTGTGGATCAGACAGACACTGAGTTTTCCATTTTTCAAGAGTAAAAAAAATTATTATAATGTGTCTAGGTGCATGAGGTGAGACTCTTCTCAGGTGCTTGGCTATCTTTCAGAAATAGAAGGCATCCAGGTCATGACTAGTCATCACTTATCTCTTTAAGGATCTGGAAAGTTGAGCTAAGCTTCTCCACTTCAACTAACTCACACTGTATTCTAGCTATTCTGTCTGTTTCCACCTGAAGAATGGAGATTAGGAATAAAGATTTTTTTCCCCATGTCACTGCAACTTTGTATTGCTTGCTCTTCATCATGTACAGGAATGACTTCTTTGTTGAAGCTTGAGGCTTCCGTCTGGCTTTTATGTGGACTAGCTCTAGCATTTCTTCTTTCCTGACCTTTTCCTCAGCGGATTTTTACCTTACTCGTTTAGAAAATTACCCCTCTATTCCATTAGTTTGTAATTTGAATTGTTTTAATGAATCATAAAAATTAATACTGTTTTCTCATTCTTTTTTAAAACTTTTGGTACAATCTTTTATTTATTCAATTAAAGATTTTTACTAGTCTTCTGTAGCATTGTACTAGACCTAGTTGTCAATAATAATAAATTGATAGACTCTGAGTTTATAGGAAAGGAGGACCTAAGTATAATCAACTAGCTAATGTAGAAAATAGTTGTATGCTATAACTGAAGGAACAACCAAAGGGCTTTGAGAGTAGAAATGTAGAGATGAAAGCTAACAGGGGAGAGTCTTCTAAGAGAGCATTTAAACTGAACTTTCAAGGATAAATAACATTTTGATAGATGAAGAAGAGGCCAACATTCCAAACTTTGGAAATAGCAGTGAAAGTTGGCAGACTTTTATTAGGTCATTAAATATGAAATGTCCAATTTCAAATTAAAAGTGTAGTTTATTATATCTCAAACAAGAAGCAGTACCGTTAATCAAAGTATGTGCCTAAACATATGGGCACAGTTTTGCCATCTTAACAGTAGCTTTTTTATGCCATCAGCGAAGAAGCCTGGAGAGCAAATGGCGATGAAATCATGAAAGGCGTTTTCCACAGTTTGTTGAGAATAGAATATTTTTCCTTGCAGTAAATGGTCCAAAACCTGGAAGAAGTGGTAGTCAGTCTGGTGAATACAGTGGATGACAGAGTGTTTCCACATCCAGCCTATGTAGTTTGAGTGGTGTTGTTTGTGTGACATGTGGTTGAGCATTATCTTGCAGGCAGATTGGCCTGCTTCTGTTGAGCAATCTCGGCTATTTAATTGCAGGCATCCTCATCATTTCATCCAGTTGGTTGCAGTAGACATCCACAGTAATCGATTGACCAGGTTTCATGACGCTATAGTGGATAATGCCAGCGCTGGGCTACCAAACAGACACTATTAGCTTTTTTTGATGAATATTTGGTTTTGGACTGTGTTTTGCTACTTCGTTTTTATCCAACCATTTTGCCAAACACTTGAAATTGTCAAAAAGAATCCATTTTTTGGCCTTTTCAGTGCGCGGCCACAGTTTGAGCTGCTGCACCCTGGGTCTCGGGCCTGGTCCTCAGCGGCTAGCAGCTCCCTCGTATCATAGTTTACAGCAAATCCGAGTGTTTCAGTTAAAGCATGGAATACAGAAAATAACAAAAAACTTCAACTAGTGCTTTAATTTCATCTGAAACTCTAGAGAAGTGTGTCTTATAAGCAGTATATGGCAGAATTTTGAACCAATCTGGGAGTCTCTGTTTTTTAGTGGTCATTATTTTTGACAATTACATACTGCTAAATGTTCAGTTTGGGAAAGTGAAAGTCTTTTATTGAGAAAAAACAAATTAAGAAGACAACGCTGTGGCTCATATCCCTCAGAGCTGCTGTGGATGGACCTTGCTCTCTTGCCTGCCTTTCTGAGTAGGATGTCCCTGAGATCCCTCAAATGGAGTCTCCTGCTGCTGTCACTCCTGAGTTTCCTTGTGGTGTGTTACATCAGCCTTCCCCACTACAGTGTGATAGAACGTGTAAACTTAATGTACTTCTATGAGTATGAACCAATTTACAGGCAAGACTTCCGCTTCACACTTCGAGAGCATTCAAACTGCTCTCATCAAAACCCATTTCTGATCATCCTGGTGATCTCTAACCCCTCACATATGAAAGCCAGACAGGCCATTAGAGTTACTTGGGGTGAAAAAATGTCTTGGTGGGGATATGAGGTTCTTACATTTTTCTTACTAGGCCAGCAGGCTGAAAGGGAACAGACAATGTTAGGATTGTCCTTAAAGGATGAACACCTTCTTTATGGTGACATAATCCAACAAGAGTTTTTAGACACATACAATAACTTGACCTTGAAAACCATTATGGCATTCAGGTGGGTGACTGAGTTTTGCCCCAATACCAAGTATATCATGAAGACAGACACTGATGTTTTCATCAATACTGGCAATTTAGTGAAGGATCTTTTAAACCTAAACTATTTGGAGAAGTTTTTCACAGGTTATCCTCTAAATGATAATTACTCCTATAGAGGATTTTACCAAAAAACCCCTATTTCATACCAGGAGTATCCTTTCAAGGTGTTCTCTCCCTACTGCAGTGGGATGGGTTATATAATGTCCAGAGATTTGGTGCCAAGGATCTATGAAATGATGAGTCATGTAAAACCCATCAATTTGAAGATGTTTATGTTGGGATCTGTTTGAATTTATTAAAAGTGGACATTCATATTCCAGAAGACAGAAACCTTTTCTTTTTATATAGAATCCATTTGGATGTCTGTCAACTCAGACGTGTGATTGCAGCCCATGGTTTTTCTTCCAAGGAGATAATCACTTTTTGGCAGGTTATGCTAAGGAATACCACATGTCATTATTAATATCAAATTCTACCAAAGGCCTAGAGGAGGACAGGACACTTTGTGGTAAGTGTTAAAGTTGGTACTGTGGAAAATTCATAGGAAAGTCAGTGTGCTGGCTAACCCTGAGCTGAAACTCATAAAGAACCTGGAGACAGGAGGGTTAAGCTTTACTTGTGATCTTTTTTTTGACAAAATCAAGTCAGGCCCTTTAAAGATGATATTCAGAGGAATTAAATACCTTATAAAGAAATTAGAGGTTTTTGCTAATGAAATTAATAGGACCAAACAATTTGAACATGTCATTCTGTAGGCTAGAATTTCTTAAAAGGGTTTCTCTGAATTATAAGCTCATTAGTTCATAACAGTAAAACAATGTAAAATTTTATTTATTGAACAATCTAGTCACTTAAAGGTTTCATATATATCATACATGGGTTGCCAATTTAAAAATATAGCTCCGTATTAAAAAAAACTTAACTGAAGTTATACCGAACAAAATTTCATCTGATTTTGGTCATTTAGAAGGTGCTTCAAAGGTGTCGCAGTATTTCAGAGTTATCATTTATTATTTAGTATTATTTTGAACTTTCTGGGTGTTTAAATGTTTTGATGGTTTCAATACTGTGTAAACAGAATAACGAATCACTCTTTATAGTGTAACTTTTTTCTAGTTCACTGAACAAGTTTGTTATTGATAGCCCCATTAATGTATTATAAAGTCATAAATTCTTATCGCATATCAGTAATCTCTTGGACTTTGTTAAATATTTTACTGTGGTATATAGAGAAGAATTAAAGCAAGAATATATTAATTATTGTCTTCTTTTTAAAACTATAGTCCCCAGTGTTTTTAGGCACTTTGTCTGTCTTATTTTTCCACCTGGAAATTAGGGATAATTTAGAATGCCAGGCAGTATAGTTTCTTTTGCAAAGGACTCTGAAGGCAAAAAAAAAAAGATGGGGGCAGGGAGAAGAGAACCTGATGGCCAGAATATTATGGAAAGTGTCAAATTCCAGTATTTGAGTTGGAAAGAGTAGATTAGGATCCTAGTTGTTATTAATCTGCCCCACCTGTTTTCTCATTAACAATGAGTTTGTGAATGAAGAGAACAAAAGAAGGGGGGAAAAAGTCCATTTTTTTATCACACATAACAATACGTTGTAGAAATGGTTCGCCTTTATGTTGTGACAACAAAAAAGGCAAACTTTGAGAGGATTTCTCTTCATTTCTCTTCTGAAACTCATGTGGTACCCATCTGTGCAGCTTCTTTATCTTGCTGATTTGTTTCAAATGGCCCAATATTGTTGGAATAGTAATGTCAAACTTTGCTGCTAATTCACGTGTTAGGCTGAGATGTATTTGCTTCCACTACAGCTTTCAGCTCATCATTTTCCACCTTGGTCTCAGGTTGCCCACGTGGCTCATTTTCAAGATTAAAATCACCAGAAACGAACTTCTCAAACCATTGCATACTATGGGTTTATTAGCCTCATTCTTCCCAAACACTTCGTTGATATCTCAAGATATCTGCGCAGCATTGATTTCATGACTGAACTTATATTTGAAAATAACATGAATTTTTGACTTATCCATGTTTTCACAAAAATCGCTCTAAAAAAAAAATTTGGAAGATAATCGCAAGCCAAACTGTGTATTTGAAACACTGAGGATATACCTTCATAATAAAAATAAGAGAAGAAGTGTCAAAGTGCAGTGTCAGAGATATCAACTGTCAGACTTAGTACTTAAAGAAGTTGGACATTTCATACTTAATCTAATATAATAAAAAGGTGAACTCTTTAATTTCAAAAGCCAACTGCTGTGGTTGACTTAAACATGATTTTTTTTTTTTTTTTTTTTTGAGACAGAGTCTCACTCTTTCGCCCAGGCTAGAGTGAGTGCTGTGGCGTCAGCCTAGCTCACAGCAACCTCAAACTCCTGGGCTCAAGCGATCCTCCTGCCTCAGCCTCCCAAGTAGCTGGGACTACAGGCATGCGCCACCATGCCCGCCTAATTTTTTCTATATATTTTTAGTTGTCCGATTTATTTCTTTCTATTTTTAGTAGAGACGGGGTCTCGCTCTTGCTCAGGCTGGTTTTGAACTCCTGAGCTCAAACAATCCGCCTGCCTCGGCCTCCCAGAGAGCTAGAATTACAGGCGTGAGCCACCGCGCCCGGCCTTAAACATGATTTTAAACACCGGAATGTCAACAGTATAATAAAGCATAATTTTATGCTCTTATAGCATTCTTTTTCTAAGGGATCATTATTAAGGACCTAATGCACTTTTGTGGATTATACTTAGTTTATATTTTATACCAAAGTAAAAAAAAAAAACATTTTCTATATTTATTTTATGGTTTTCTATATTTACAATAGGGCTAAAATGATTTGTTTACATTGTATTGATTATATATGCAGTCAGCAACTTTATTTCTAGGATAGAACTATCATAGTTGGTAGTTGGTCTTTAAAAGATTATTTGTAAGAATTATTACAAATAAGATATTCTAAGTGGCTGTCAGTGAATGCTTTGTTATGTTACTACTCAGGTCAAATGGATTCTGTTAATATTTGGTTTCACAAAAATTACTGTCAAGTTAAAAATTCCTTTGATTGCCATCTGTGTCGTTATACTACTCCCCCCACCTGCTCTCCACATCATCGATTAAGAAAATCAAAATATCTTCCCTTCCTTATTTTTTGGTTTAGTTGTTTGTCTTTTTTTCAGTTATTTCTAGATGCTTCTTATATATTGATGATATTAATCTCTCTCTGTCATACATGTTAGCGATGCTTTTTCCAGCTGTTATATGCATTTTACTTTTCCTGCTGGTAATTTTTGAAATATACATGTTTAAATGCTTGTGGATTCTGTTTTTTGTTTGGAAAGGCTTTACCCATTCTAAGGTCTGAAAATACAAACCTACGTTTTCTTAAAATTCATTTATATTTTTTAAAACAAATGTTGCTTATATTGCCTGAAATTTTGTTTTATATGTAATATGAGATCTAATGTTTGATCTATTGTTTCAAAATCATTTATTAAATAATGTCATATATATGATCACTTACAATATGTATGCCTGTATATAGTGATCTATGGGGGCAACACCTAACAGAGAGCCTGAGATGAAGTTTCTTCTCCCAATATATGACCTGTGATACATTTCTTCAATTAAGAGGGGCTGGTTTTTCAGATAATGCCCAATTTGTAATCATTGAGCAGAGTCTTTGCTGCAATCTCCATAGGAGTTTTTGGAGGGTATTTTGGTTGGTATGATTCTTCATCTCAAGCCTGATTTTCTGTATAATAATACAATCTACTTACGAATTTCAGTCTTTTGGTTTCCTCATTTTAAGTCTAGTATATGTTTATAGCCTATAGGGATATGTTGAGTGTATTTGCAATGTGCATACTGGTATCTGGATTTAAAAATCTTTGAAACCAGGTTAGGATTTATATGGAACTCA